TTTGAGTTTTCCTTTCTGGTTTTTGCATATACCAAGGAGGTGTATATGGGAGAATTCAGCAACATCACTAACACCGATTGCTTGGATGGTTTTGATACTGTAGATATATCTTTTCCAGTAATTAATCATAAAAAATAGCAACATAATCAGAACACTGTGGTGTATTATTACTCCCAAGACATTTTTGAAAAGTTTCATCCATTTTAAGGCCGAGAAGGAAGCAGAACATGTGAATATTACGGCACATCAGGATCGGAAATATTACATGGAATGCACAATTGTTCGTATAATGAAAACACGGAAAGTGATAAAGCATGCAGCTCTGGTCAACGAGGTTAGCTAGCCATTTTCACTGTAGCCGCAAGAAAAAACTTCTACTCATTTCACAGATTCCTCATCAAAAACGTTAAACAGCAGTATAGTTGAGAGGGTCGAACGAGAGAGATTTGGCAGCCAGAAATTCCTCTCATTTAACAGCTTCCTTCCTTGTTCGCTTCTGGCCCTATGAGCGCCACTGGAATTCATTCGCTTGCTGGTTTGTTAGGAGAATTCGAGATGAATTTGTAGTAAACTGTTAAGACTTTATTCGGCTCAGCTTGGCTTGGCTTGGCCGATTGTAAAACATGCTCCGATGATGGGGAAGAGGAAGGAGGGAGAGGAGAAAGAGAGATGGTGGCAATGCGGCGTAAGCGGGGAGGGTAAGGGTCAGGGTGATGGTTTAGGCCTCGGAGATCGTAACAGGGAAGCGGGGTTATTGATCGGAAAGGCCTTCACTGGAGGTAGGAATCGGAAACAAATGGGGATAGGGGAAGGATGACGGGGAGGTTTTTAGTGCTTAGCTTGAGACGTAGTGATGAAGGAAAGTTATTCACTCAATATGCTCTCATTTTTAGGTTCAGGTTCTAGTAGCAGAAGTCGTAGTATTGGGTTTTTTGTTTAGGTAAAGTTGCTTTCAGGATTGTTAACTTAGTAAAGACTGGGAAAGCTAAAATCATATAAGTAAAGAGTGGTAAAAAGAATGAATGCTTATATGAGTAATTTATATGGGAAAAGTATTATATATGGGAAAAGCAAAGGGAAGAAAGCTGAAGAGGAATGTTAAAGTCCATTAAATCGCATCTATTGCTTTTTGATATCGACCTCATTGATCCGCGCTTAGCTATGCCAGATTGCATTCTTGCGCTTAGAAGCTATTGCCTCTTCGTTTTGTCCCGTTGTATTAATTACATAGCAAATGGTAGGAGGGCAGAGGGACGGGGTCAAGC